ATACCTGGATGCCATAAGCAGCAATGCGATCAAATACAGACATACACAAACTTGCACACAAATGCTGCCTGCAGGGTAGGGTTATTCAGTTCAGGTAATGTTTACTTTCTTATATGGCGTAACTACCGATAGTGCTGCGCTATTAAAAGGTCTGGATGCTATTGATCTGTGCAGAAAAGAAAACAATAAAAAGGAACAAAAGAACGGAAGCGATGGGGCAGGAAATGTGCACTACTGTGTTATTGATTGAAATAAAAGCTCACTTAGAATTAAACCACAGTAAGAGGTGTGTGTATGTGTGTTTAATGAAGGAGCTGACAAAGAAAAAAAAACTAAAATTCAAAGACAAGGCAAGATGCTGCATATGAGAGGTAAAGTCTTCACTTAATCACCATGAATGTAAAGTTAATTTAACTCTTGTGAATAAGAATTTTAAGGCTCTGTTAACAGAAGTACAATTTTAAGCTGCAAAGGCAACTCTGGAAAACAAGCAAGCTTTTGAACACGGACACAGAACTTTCACCCTCCCACCGGCTAGGCCATGTCCGCCTGATACTGAAATAGAGAACCTAAGTCCCACTTCCAGACCATGGGTCTCTAACAGGTTCTTCCTTATGAAGAACCTGGCGCCGTCTGTTGTGGCTTGCCGTCTGGTTTACCGTTTGCCATTTGTGCTTTTTGTATTTTTGTCATTGTTTTTGAGCCTCTCAGTGGCTGATTCCTGTCCCACCCTCACCTATGATCGAACTACTCTTTTGGATCTCCGGCAGAGGTTCGAGTCTCTCCAGTTTCATTATGCCTCATTCAAACGGTCGTTTGGGAACCTGTTTGATGGAGTTCTGCCCTTCCTCCTCTCCTCCGCCTGTGGCCTGGCGGGGCCACGGTGGAAGCGGCGGCGACGCGGCAGGCGTAGTGGCGCTCACGTCCAGCTCTGAGCTTCCCGGATGTGCCAGTCTAGTGGCAACTTTGGTTCTCAGGTTTGGGTCTGGTTCCCTGATGATTCCTCGGAACACAACATCCAGATTATCCACAAGCAGGACAGTGATCCTGTCAGCTGGGGATCCAAACGGAGGCGTCGTATTGGCGGGGTGAATTGGAGGAATCTTACTTATCCTGTGAGGTCCTGCGAAGAGAGTCCTCGCCCTTGTTTGTCTTCAACTTCCTCGTCTTCTCTCAGGATTGCTCTACAAAATGTTCATTCGCTGGGGAATGAAACAGTGCTTTTAACCCCCAGAAACCCAAATTTAGAAAACAACTGCAAAATCTTTTTTAACCTTTCACATGTTGTTCTTGGAGGCCAGATAAACGGGCCTATTTACACATTTTAACAGCCAATAGTGTTGCATAACTGAACAATAGGACCTATTAGCAATGTAAATGTGGTTTTAAAAAGAAAAAAAATGGGGAAGGTTTATTTTTGTAGACTTAAATCTGATGTTGTAATATTACAACCGTGGGTCTCTGGGGGTTAAAGGATTTTTTCATCGATAATGGATTAACTTTGTTCTGCATGATAGAGACGTGGGTCCCACCGGGTGAGTCAGTGACACTTGCTGAACTTTGTCCGTCAAATTGTTCTGTTGTGAATGAGCCCAGATTGTCAGGTCGAGGTGGGGGGCTATTGACTATGTACTCATCCTCCCTCCCCCTCAAGTGCCTCCCGGGTTCATCCACCCCCACCAGCTTCGAGGTCTCTGTTTTTGAACTCAGTTTCTCCCCTCCTACTCTTTTTATTCTATGTTACCCACCACCAAAATATATGTAACTCTGCTTTTATTAGGGACTTCTTATCTTTTAGCTGAATATCTCCCCAGGTATGACCAAGGTATTATCCTTGGTGATTTTAATATTCACGTTTGTTGTTTGTCGAATCATCTGGTGAGAGATTTCTCAGATGTTCTGGTTTCATTTGGCCTCCAGCAACGGGTCAGTGTTCTTACTCATGAGCACTCTCACACACTGGATTTAGTTTTATCATTTGGACTGAAGGTGCAGGACTTGGTTGTTCACCCTGTCAGTTTCTCAGATCCTTTCTCAGTTGATTTAACATCTCTGCCATGTTGCCTGTGGTGAGAAGGCAGGCTCCTCGTTACTCTAGGCATATCTCTCCCTCCACGACTGCCTCACTACTGTCCATCCTGGAGGTTGAATTATCTAATCCTTCCTCATCTGGGATCACCACGGATGTGGATGGGCTTTTAAATTCTTTTAATTTGACTTGTTCTGTTGCCCTGGACTCAGTCGCTCCCCTTAAACTTAGACGTAAGAAAACCACCTCTGATCCTTGGCTGAACAATGATACACATAGCCTCAGGTGGCGTTGTAGGGCGCTGGAAAGAAGGTAGAAAAAGGACAAGTTACTAATCTCACAGCAGCTTCTGATGGATGCCCTTGACCTGTATCAGAAAAGTGTTAGATCTGCCAGGAACAAATATTTCACATGCATAATCTCACAACACCAGAGTGATCAGCATAAACTTTATAGCACTGTCAACTCCATCTTGTCGATAACTGAACCTGGTAGTGTTGAACCTAGTAGAGTTGATCCCTCTGTGTCATTGTGTGCTGAGCTCCAGACCTTCTTTCTTCACAAAGTCCGGGACATTAGGGATAGTCTTGTGCAACCAGGATCTAGCTATCCTGATGTACCACCAGAACCTCACTCATTCTCTAACTTTGCTCCCATCTCTCTTAGTGAATTGGCAGATCTGATTGGAAATATGAAACCAGCAGGTTCTCCTGAGGACCCTCTACCCCCGAGGATGGTGGGTGATATCATCACTATTTTGGGCCCTGCAATCATAGACATTTTTAACTCTAGCTTGGCCACTGGGGTGTTTCCTACTTCTTTTAAAAAGGCAGCTGTGCAACCAATAAAAAAAAACTGGTTTAGACCACTCAAACCTTGCAAACTTCTGGCCAATCTTCAAATTACCATTTTTGTCTAAGGTCCTTGAAAAGATTGTTTATTCACAGATTACAGCACACATGAATAGCTTTTCTCTGGTTGATGTGTTCCAGTCTGGGTTTAGGCCACTTCACAGTACTGAATCAGCCCTTCTTCGGGTGTCCAATGACATCCTGGTGGCTTCTGACTCTGGGTCTCCTGTTTTTCTCCTTCTATTAGATCTTTCTGCAGCATTTGATACGTTTGACCATTACATTTTGCTGGATAGACTTGAGTCATGGGTAGGGCTTAGGGGTACCTCACTTCAGTGGTTTTGCTCATAACTGTCAAACAGAGACATCAAGGTTCAGTTGGGTAATTGTTCCTTTACATTCCTTCCACTTCCATGGGGAGTCCCACAGGGATCTGTGCTTGGGCCTCTCCTGTTTTCAATTTACATCCTCTCCCTGGGTTTCATCCTGAGGAAATATGCCCTGGGCTATCATATCTATGCAGATGATTGCCGGATCTACCTGGCTTTGAACAAACCAGGCTCCCTCTCTCTTCTGGACCAATGTTTGGGTGAAGTGAGGGTTTGGCTTGCCAACAATTTCCTGAAGCTGAATGATTCTAAGTCTGAGGCACTCCTCGTGACCCCTAACAAAACCACACACTTATCTTCTGATTTGGACACTCTCCCATATGACCTCAAGCAGTGTGTTACCAACCTGGGGGGGAAACTGGATACCCACTTTTCCATGGGCCCTCAGATTAACGCAGTGGTCAGATCGTGTTTTTGCCAGCTGCGCCGACTAGTTCGCTTAAAACCGATCCTGAAACGAGCGCACCTACAATCCGTAATTCATGATTTTATCATTTCCTGACTAGATTACGCAAATTCCATTTTAATTGGTTTACCTGCCTCCGCTCTTAACAAGCTTCAGGTCGTACAGAACGCGGCAGCCAGGTTTTTAACAAACACCCCTAGAAGAGACCATATCACACCTGTACTGGTGCGGCTCCACTGGCTACCCGTAAACTTCAGAGTCAAGTTTAAAATCCTGATATTTGTTTTTAAGGCCCGAATGGTCTGGCTCCGGATTACCTGTCTGATCTTGTGACTCGTTATGTGCCAAACTGGGCACAAGATTACTGCCAGCGAGCCTTTTGTTACTAATGCATGCAGCTTGTTTAACCAAAAACAGGATGGACAGTTCATTTTAACATTGATATAAGTAGCATGGCAATCAATTGACATATGGATGGTCATAGGACAGAATAGATAATGCTGCAGTCCAGGGTGCTGAAATAAAAAGACAATATTAGTTAAAAGTTAACTATTTGGGGTCTTTTGAGGGGAGATCCTTTCAGAAAAGCTGTGGCCTTGAGTTTTTTTTTTTCATTTCCTCAATGTCACCAGATGGGCACCGAACTTAACATGTTTTTTAATTAATTAATTATTTGGCATAGAAGTTATGATGCCCTTTCTTGAAGGTGGCATGCATAGTATACATTTTAAAGTAACTTAAAAATACAGATTTACATTCCCACAAGAGGGAGTTCTCTATCAAAAAGAAAGTGCCCCAGTCCTCAGCATTCACTGTGGAGTGACACACTGATGCAGTTTAGCACACCAACGTAGCTTAGAATGCTAAGGGGAATGTATAGACATTTAAATTTCAGAAAATCCTTCTCCTCTCTTTGATAATGTCACCCCACGGACCCCAGTTTAGAGTGAACATCAGTCCTGTTGCTAAAAAGGAACCTGAAGTTACTGAACCTAATCTGCAAAATTGGTATAATTGCATTTGCATTGGTCAAATCTTAAACTAGACAATAACACTGAACACAACCTTTTTTCTGAGAAATCACATCATATCAGTATGAGTGATAACATTAAAACCGCTAGTAAAAGAGCCAGTCCAACTCTTGATGACCCAACTAATCAGAAGCAGTTTCGTCAAACAGTCACAGGATACACACTTTGCAGATAAATGTTGCTTAAAGAGCAAGTAACGTCTAAATTAACTTTTTTTTGCTGATGAACTGTATAAATGAGTGTCTAATAGTGTTTTAAATGTGTGTATTCATTATTTTAGCATTTTGGTGCCTTTTCTTTAAAAATTAAAAATTCTGCCTAAATACCACAGTATAGCTCCACCTTCAGCTTAAAACATAGAATTTGACTCATTTTGAATAAATTTTAGCCAATGGCTAAAGAGTAAGATACTACGTAAACCAGTAGAGTACTACGTAGCAGCTCTGTGTCAACGTTATAAAAGCATCGGGAGTCTCGGCCACGCCTTGTGGCGAGTTGGGAGTTGGATTTGCAAGCGAGTGTAGGAGGCTAGCCGTAGTTCAGCATTAGCATATAGCATTAGCATATCCTAGTCTTTAGCATAGCTTTTAGTGTTATACATACTTATTTAGTGTTAGCTTGGCTGTTGGATATTGTAGTTTAGTTACTGTTTGGCTGTTAGTGTAATTAGGAAAGTAGTTCGGGTTTAGTGCTCCATATCGTGTTAGTATGGTGAGATGGTGTAGTGTAGTATGGTTGCGGAGCTCTGTCAGGTTGCACTCCTTTCCGCTGGACTTAGAAATTAGGCGCCAGTGGTTGCGTGTCTGGAAAAGATTCAGCTCCCGCCTGGTGCTGTAGTTTGCAACCAGCATTTTACCCGCGATTCTGCACGTCTCCGTTCCAAGAGGGAGGCTGTGCCCACCGTGGCTCTTCCGCGATTTAGATACAGCCCACCGACTCTGCTCCCCCACCATGACGGGCTTCAGTCTGAGGTGAGTAAGCTAAATAAACGTTTTAACATCTTCTAAAGACAATTCCCTTCCTAAATGCAAAGTTTGAGAGACGTGGTTCACTCCATTTAGCTAATATCAGCCTGCACTAGCTGCCTTCGGGCTGATTTGTCAAGTTCACAAAATGTGGAACGGGATGTAAGGTTAGAATCAGCGGCGAATCGGAACATATCTCGAAGCCCTGGCCGACAAAACGGTCCACATGACTGTCAGGCTCAGAGAAAATTCGGGTTGTTTTTGTGTCAGTCGGTAATTCTGCAACAGTGACTCTGACGCAGCACTAGTTGACAGACATCATTACAGCGTGAAATCCAGCACAGCGTGACCCGGTTCCGTGAGGAATTCTGTTCAGGAGGTCGCATTTCAGGATCTCCACATCATATGTGACTGACTTTTACGTTATAATAACATCACACACTAGGAATGTTATAAAGCGCCTATATGGGACAGTTTCTTTTGTATTTTATCTGACTTTATAAACATCAATGTGCTTCTATTTTTTTCAGGCTAAATCTACCCAAGACACTGGCTGTCAGACTGATTTAGTAATCTGCAAGAATGCACTTGTCCAGGCTGACGTGGTGTTACCCGTAGCAAAGGTGAATTATTTTTAATAATCTTCTATGTAAACATTTTATTACCTTCTAGTTTTAATTTGTTTTACAGATTGTTACAAGTGATTTTATGCTCTTTTAAACGTTTATAAATGTGCTGCTTCTTTGTTTTTTATAGAGCTCACAGCCTCAGTGTCTTGTGACACAGGGACCATGACAGAAATTCATCTTCCAGAAGGTCCCAGAGCATCCACACCTCCTGAAAAGACCAAGATGTGAGCTGTCTGCTGTTGATTCCAGCTTCCACCTCAGTGACAGTGCAAGCTCAGTTAACTGTTCAAGGTAAAAAAAATTAAAACATTTCTGAATTTTTAAGATATTAACAATTAAATAAGTATGTGATTACATCATGAAGGAGGCTACTGATTCTGGCCCTGTGACACTTGGTGGTGACGTGTGAGCTGATTCACCTGGTAAATAACTTTTAAATTAAATATTTTGTTTTTGCTATCAAAAGTAAATTAACTAATAACCTGCATTACTGCAGGACACTCAGCAAAATATGGACTCTACACCATGAGGCAGGCACACGTTAATAACTCTATAAGAGCACATAAGGTGAGCAACACCACATATTATTTTTATTACTGTACACTGTCCTGGATTTGTTTTCTTTCTGCATGATTTGTTTTCTTTCTGCATCTCATCATTAGCCTGGCTGATCACCTGATAACTCCTGTCATCTGGTTATGACAGCATGAGGATGTCCTCACACACCTGTCATCTGGTTATGACAGCATGAGGATGTTCTCACACACCTGTAACCTATCAGCTCATCTGGCAGAATAGAGAGAGAAGAGACAACACCACATCTCCTGTTCCTGGAAAGCCTTCAGCCATCCTTCGATGACTGAGAACCTCCATCAGCTCTGTCTCCTGTCTGCCTACAATTATTATAATAAATATTGTGTTTGACAAGTTTTTTGTGCTGCCAAATGTCTGATTTTGATTCCAGTTTTGATATTTTAATGGATATTTATAAATTACATTAATTGAATTATCACATTGTCGCATGTTTATCTAGCTCTATTGTGATGAACTAAACTAGCACCTCACTGTTAAAAGCTTGTTTTAATTTCAAGCATGTTTAAGTATTTATGGACATGAACAAAAACAGGAAATGTATAAATTGAGATTCATTTAATTAATATAACAAATAAGGGGGAAAGAGTCATTGAAAGGCACATTCTTCTGGAAGCTCCTGATCCTGACGACACCAGCAGAGACCAGCTGCAGACACCAGAGGATCACCTGCAACCAAGAGCAGCTAGTATCAGTAAATAAATAATGAAATCAGGGCAGTTTTAGTGGGCTGAACACATTACAGAATAATTTTCTCATGGGATATTTTCATAACTTTATGCAGCAGACTGTAGCTTGAGCCCAGATCTCCTGGAGACCTGCTATCCAGCACGTTTCAGTGGATTTTCCTGCTTTAACAGGTTAGATAAGCTGTTAAGCAGCTCAGCTGTTTGTTGCTGATTAAAACCAGGTGTGTTGATGTAGATAAATCTCTAAAACATGCTGAATACTAGCTCTCGGGCCGTGGAGACAAACCCTGCAGCTAATCCAATGCTATGGCTAACGGCTACTTACATTCAGAGATGGTTCTGTTGGGTCGGTTCCGGTAATTTCAGGCAACTCACAAGCTCAAAACAATAAGGCTCATGTCCGCTTGTCTCCTCCAATTAGACTTGGTCCCTTTCTTCTCGAGTGTCTGGGTAAGGAGGGGGAGAAACGTCCTCCACTTCTAATGACTGCTCAGAGTGAAGGGAGCTAGCTTCGTCTAGTTAGCCATCGTCTTCGTCACTGCCGCGGCTCCGCCCTCTCGGTCCTCCAGGCAACGCCTACCAATGTTGCAGTGTTTAAAATTGATACGTGGGTGGGGTAAGACTGAGGCACACTTGACATGCACTTTAAGTGAGAAAATGCGAACGTTGTAAACAACTGACTAATGCAAAAGTAATGAGGTGTTTAAATACCTAATGCAGTAGTAACTCAAGTTGCTAGAGAAATTATTAAGTTGTTTTCGATAATGGAAGTTCCCTTGTTTGAATTTCAGTTCCCAAATAATCCTGTGAACGGTGTTGCCTGGGGCAAAGGTATCCAATCTCAGCTTCTCCTAGCCTGGCAAGCCAGACTAAATAAATGTATTATTTAAACTTTGCAAAGCAAGAATTTGGTCTAGTTCACTAGGCTAAGCTTCTCCTGATGAATACGATGCATGTTTACATGGATTTTCTGCTCCAACACACCTGGTTTATATAAATGGGTGATTGAAAGTTTATCATCTGATGGAAAATAGAAAACATACAGAACAGCAGAAGACCAGGCTTGGACATCAATGGTCTGGGGCATCTCCTACATGGACTTTGCTTAATGTAGCATTTAGCAAACATCCAAGAGAACTGCACCTATCTTCCTGCAGTATGATAATGGTCTACTGAAGGTAAGATAACGATTACCTCTAAATGCTCGACACAATCCGCATTCAAAAGATGTGATCAGTTCCTTCAGTTACTGCCGCATCTGATATTATTCTCATGTATCCCAATATTACGTTTCTGTTACTTAATCATAATCATTCCTTTACATGCATTTTTGTTTTCATTTTTGCATGCTTCTGTTAAATGCCACTTGTGATTGTTATGCAGTTAAGCCGCAACTTTAAAAAAGTATCCAAATGCTTTACTCATAAATACACATTATCCAAAATGGCCTGTTTTAACTTTAATTTGACAAAGCCAAATACATGCTTAATGATCCAATAATGTGTAGCCTAACCTATAAAACGCCTGTTGTTGCAACAAAAAGGGCTAAAACTAACATGTAATTTAGAAGTGTCGGTTCCATTTGCCAGTCCTATGTTAGCAGTTTCTGTACTAAACGCTGTACGGGTTTAGGTTTCATATAACTTCAGTCTCAAAAAAAGGCCAAGCACAAGAATGTTTAAATGCATGAAATCATATATTGTTTTGGAAATATTCACAATGATCAGGTAAGCAAAGGCCACCATTTGTTGGTTATTATTTAAAAGGAGTTGCTAATAGAACTAATAACAATGTTTTTTTGTCTATTAATTAGCCAAATGTTATGGAAATACACCAAGAAAACTATTAATAAACTTCTCAGCAATGTTTTTTTAAGAATCAGAGATCCAGGAAAACACACCAAACATTGATTAACTGACATTGTTAATTTATTGTTTTTAAAGACAGTTTTGTACATCCTTGACTTATAATTATTGAGTACAATGTTATAAACAGCAGGATACTAAAGGAGGAACTCATCAGTACAACTAGAAAGAACAGCTAGTTTGTCTCCCTCCTAATGGTAATATAAAAGTCACTTTTGCAGTTTAGTTATTGATAACCTATTAGCATGTGTGCGTGTGTGTGTGTGTGTGTGTGTGTGTGTGTGTGTGTGTGTGTGTGTGTGTGTGTGTGTGTGTGTGTGTGTGTGTGTGTGTGTGTGTGTGTGTGAAGATGCTAGTCTCTAATCCTTATCGTATGCATCATGCATAGATTATCTGCTCATTAAAGTGACAGAAGATCTGGCAACAGCACCACCAACAGCTACTTTATTACAGCACTATTTCTCAAATATGCCAGTAAGCAAATATTTTTGGTGGTCTTGCAAGTCATTAACTGTTACATGTAATCAATAGGATTGATTAGAAAGAAGGATTATGTTAATATCTCAATGATGGGGACATTTTAGTGTTTTTTTTTCTTACCCTTTACTTTGTAGGTTTTTTTTTACTTGAAGATTCAGAAGAAGAAGAAGAAAAGATCTTTTCTACAGCACCTCTCAATATAAAAATCATGAGGCGCTTCACAAAATCAAAAGATGTAAAAATATAAAAAATAATTTAGAGAATGATTTAAACAATATTTAAAATGAGCAAAAAATTGACAATTGTGATTAAAAAATGTAAAGAAAGAAATAGAGTGAAAATGAAAGAGGGAAATCAGTGGATCCTGAGGAAGGTGGAATAGGTAGGGAGAGCAGAACAAGGAGAGGGTGACGAAGGTCACGCCAAAACCAGCTTGACCAGGTGAATTTCCAGCTGCTTTTTAAAGGAGCCCACTGATCTCAGGCTCAGGGGGAGAGAGTTCCAGAGTTTGGGGGCCACAGCAGCACCAGTCACCTTTGGTCTTTAGCCTGGTGCACTGCACAACTAGTAGGCTTTGGTCACTGGACATCAGGGACCTGCTGGGAGTGTAGGGACTAAGAAGATCACCAATGTATGATGGTGTTTGTCCATGTAAGGCCCTATAGACCATAACCAGGATCTTGAAATGAACCCTGAAGCTGATTGGGAGCCAGTGAAGCTGGAGGAGAAGTGAGGTGATGTGGGTGTGTTTGGAGGACTTGGTCAGAAGCCGAGCACAGGCTTTCTGAACCACCTGCAGACGGTTCAGGGAGGTTCTGCTCAGACAAGTGCAGAATTGCCGTAGTCTAAGCATGAGGAAATGAAGGTGTGGATAATGGTCTCAAGTTCAGAGCGGGACAGAATTGGACTCAGCTTTGCAATATGCCTGAGAGATGGAAGAAGGAAGAGCGTACGAGAGAACTGACATGAGAATCCAGGGTGAGAGCTGGGTCAAAGGTCACACCAAGATTCCTGACGGAGGGTTTAGTGTGAGAAGCAAGCTGACCAAGAGAGTCTCTGACTTTGGGAACCAGCTTGTCTGGGACACAGATGAGGATCTCACGCCGGGGACACACCGGCCGCGGAAGCGCCGCAAAGCGCCGAGAAGCGAATCGCTCACGAAATTCGGCCGCTGCTCGCCGCTCATCAGTTCAGATCAGACGCGCCCCAGTCGAGGCGCGCTTCGGCTCAGCTGTAGTTTTTCTTTTAAACACTTGGTGTCCTCCATTTCCTCTCTGCCTTTTCTCAGCTCTTTTCCTCTACGTTGGAGTGTTTGTACGCGTGTGCATGTGTGTGTGTGTGCGTGTGTGTGTGTGTGTGTGTGTGTGTGTGTGTGTGTGTGTGTGTGTGTGTGTGTGTGTGAACCTATGGTATGAGTTGTTTCTGCCAGTTGAATCTCTTGGAACCCGCTCCAATTCTGCAGCTGTATCCTAGCAGTTTCTTCCGAAATGGGTACGTAAATAACCATGTTTTTCGGGGGTCGTACAGCTCCTTGTGTTTCTCAACTTCCATAATTCATTTAAAGTCATCCATCCTAACTGCTTGCCTCAGACTTTCTGCGTCTCTGTCCTGTTTGCTCCGGTGAAAAGACACCCAAAACCACATCCCCCTTCACGTGGTCACACATGCACACAAGTTCGATGTGTGTGTATGTGTGTGCGTGTTCGTGTGGTTTTTCTGCAGTGTCTGTTTACGAACACATTTGACTATTGCGGAATTTTATTTTGAAATGCTTTATTTTGTTAACTTTACCGGCCTGCCTCTTATGTCTATGTTTGACTTCCTGCCAGAATTGACGCGATTCCCCTGCGGCTTGTGAAAAAAATAGAGCCAACGCCGAAATGATCGCTGCACGGCGCGGGCTGGAGCGCCGGCGCGAGGCGATTCGCGGCGCTTCGGCAGCCCATGTGGTCTAGAATAGCTTAACAAGGGCGCCGAATGAAGGCCGTCCCATTTTCGCGGCGCTTCGCGGCGCTTCCGCGGCCAATGTGTCCCCGGCGTCAGTCTTGTCTTCATTCAGCTGTAGAAAGCTCCCAGCCATCCAGGTTTTGATAGAGTCTAAGCAGGAGTGTAACAGCTGCACCTTAGACATCTCATGGGACTTAAAGGAGATGTACAGTTGGATGTCATCTACGTAAAGATGGTAGGAGATTCCTTTGAAGGAGCTCAGGATGTGCTGAAGAGGAAGCAGATAGAGGAGGAAGAGCAGAGACCCCAGCACAGAACCTTGTGGGACACCATGGGTAAGGGAGGTGGTGGAGGACCTAAACTTGGAGACAGGCACAGAGAAAGAGCGCTCAGAAAGATAAGAGGAGAACCACTCCAGAGCAGTTCCTGAAAGGCCTACCCAGTCTCTCAGCCTCTCCAGTATCAGGTGATGGTCAACAGTGTCAAAGGCTGCAGACAGAGAAAGATTGAGAGAATGAAGACCCTGGAGGCATTTTTCAAACTATGTCAGACTAGTGCTATACCAGACTGGTGACAGTTTTTCTATTCTTAGGAAACAGAATGACTGAAATTAAGAAAAAAATTATGGAATGATAAGATACATGATTATTTAGATGTATTTAGATGAGCTGCATGGTGGCGCAGTTGTTAGCACTGTTGCCTCACAGCACGAAGGTTGCAGGTTCGAAACTCGGCTGCGGCCTTTCTGCGTGGAGTTGAGTGTTCTCTCCATGCATGCGTGGGTTTCATCAGGGTACTCCGGCTTCCCCCACAGATCACAACATGCCCTATAGGTGATAAATTGTAAGTCGCTTTGGATAAAAGCGTCTGCCAAATAAATAAACATAAACATAAAAATATAGTCTGATCTGAAACTAGCATGCCATCCTATATATGTGAATTTAAAAGGTGGCGATGACCCAAAGGCAGAGTTCAGTCTTGAGCCATGAAAATCTAATAGGGATGTTCCAATCACGTATTTAATTTTATTTATTTAATTTTTTTCCTCTACCTGGGCTGCCACCTTACCGTGGTGGAGGGGTTTGAGTGTCTCAATGATCCTAGGAGCTAAATTGTCTGAGGCTTTCTGCCTCTGGTAGGGTCACCCATGGCAAACAGGTCATAGGTGAGGGATCAGACCCTCTCCCTGGGCTGCCACCTTACAGTGGTGGAGGGGTTTGAGTGTCCCAATGATAGGAGCTAAGTTACTGAGGCTTTCTGCCTCTGGTAGGGTCACCCATGGCAAAGAGGTCCTAGGTGAGG